TTAGACAGACAGACAGACAGATAGACAGACAGACAGACAGATAGATAGACAGACAGACAGACAGATAGATAGATAGACAGACAGACAGACAGATAGATAGATAGATAGATAGATAGATAGACAGACAGATAGACAGACAGACAGATAGATAGATAGATAGATAGATAGATAGATAGATGAACAAATATAGATAGACAGACAGATAGACAGATAGATAGACAGACAGATAGTTAGACAGACAGACAGACAGATAGACAGACAGACAGATAGATAGACAGACAGACAGACAGACAGACAGATAGATAGATAGATAGATAGATAGATAGATAGATAGATAGATAGATAGATATTCCTTATTCCAATGCTTCGGTTTCGTGTTAGGATCTGTCCGTCATTAATGATTTCCCTAGATAGTCAAACTTTTATTGTTTTGATTTTGTTTATTTCAATTGTAACCTGCAAACCCCACATGGTCGACAATCATACATTATGTCAATCACAGTTTTCCCGTAAACTTTCAACACTGTATATGTTGAAAATTTCAACATTTCAAGCCGACATACACACAATATTTAACTTTATATATTAGATATATTCGTAGGCGTAGGCGTGTGTAAATAAGATAAGAATCGGAAAGCTACGAAGTTTTTTTTTTTTTCGAGTTTATCAGAATGAACTGAACGTGATTCACATCAAAAATACCCCCTTAATATTTATTTTCTGATTCTTTATATATATATATATATATATATATATATATATATATATATATTTTTTATAAAAAAAAAATATATACCATATATATGTTATAAAATCACTACAAAAATAGCTATTTTGTTTCAACACACTCTGTGTCTTATCAAGTGATGATGTTGAAAATAAAATAGATGGTTTTAAAAGTTTCAGATTAATTAACGATCCTACACTAGGGGGAAACATTGTTACAAAAGCTAGAATAACCAATCAAAAACCAAGTATAGAAAGATTCAAAAAGCTTGACAACGAAATCATGTTATAATAGCTATTCAGATCTTTAAAATACGTGTAATATTAAAAAATAATTTATACTAACCAATAATTATAAAATTATATGATAAAATTTAATATTAAAATTAAAAACTGACAATTTTAAAATCCAAATTTAATCACTATTAAGTTTAAAAACTACAAAATTATTGAGAAAAGAAAAAATATATATGTTTATTCAATTTATTTCTTCATTGAAATTACGTTCGACAAGACGCTACAATATATCCGGTCATTTGACAATATATGTATATTTTTTTTATTCTAATATGTGTGAATGTGGTCTTAAACTCACGCGCAAAACAACAAAAAAACACAATCAGATTATAATACATAAGCACCCAGACATATTTAGATATACACACACAAAAAAAAAATGAAACAATTCAAAAAAAAAAAAGGCGACGAAACAGGAACATACATACATTGAAAATGAAAAAAAAAAAATAAAAGACACCAATAAAATAGTGGTTTTTTATAACATATTTATGTTATAATTTTTTTATAAATAATAATTATATAAACCATACTTTTGTATTTATAAACTAAAATAGAATATTTAATTGGAATAAATTCATTCCGTATATAAAATTATATACTTAGATATATATATATATATATATATAAATATTTATATATATATCTATGGATATAAATTATGTTTAAGAATGAATAAGTTTATTAAATATATATATTGTACAAATAAACAATAAAATATTCAATATGTATATATATATATATATATATATATATATATATATATATATAAATGTTTACCAATAAAAAATTTAAACACAATTTTGCAAGAGAAGAAGAAAAAGAACGATTTTTAAAAAAATTCCTTTGATTCTAATCATCTCCATCTAAATCCCAAGAGTACCATATTTATTTTATACACACATTTTCCCGCCATATTTCCTCGCCATATTTTCCCGCCATATGATGAGTTGAATCGAGTACAAACTCGTTATTTTCTATATAACTTCTTTCAAAATTTACTGATTATTTAGATAACTTCTTCTTTATATCTAGTTTATTTGGAATTTCTGAAAGAATAAAGAAATTTTCGGAAATTATCCGCTCTTCGGAATATGAAAACAAGCAGACGACATTAGCTTTGGAATCAGCGCCTATAAAAACGAAAATATCTTTTGATATAGCCTAATGTATTATAATAACTTTAATAATATAGTGAAGTTATTGTTTTGGCTTCTGTACATGAAATAAGTTTCATTAAATACATTTTAAAAAATGAAAATAACTTTTGATACAAATCTAAAATATATAAGAATATTAATAATGTCATAGAATCATTCTTAATCTTTAGACGTGTACATGAAATAAGCTTTGGAGTAAAAGGCGGTAAAAATGAAAATCTTTTTTGAACAATAAAATTTAATAATATTTATAAAAAAGAAGAAGAAGAAGAAATGAAACCTTTTTCCAGAAGAAGAAGAAGAAAAAGTAAGAAGGAGGAGGAGGACACATGGCACAGTGGATAAAGGCGTTAGTTAGATCCAGTGAAAGGACCCAAAGAATATGAGTTCAATTTTAAATTCTGTAATAGTGGAAACTTTCAGACAGGAAAAAATTATTTGGAATTTTTTGATAACTGAATATATTAAACATGGCATGGAACTAGAACAGTAAACATCATTGAGCGAAATAAAGGGTTCAGTTCGACATTCCAAATTTTAAGAAATTTTTAAAAGCGTACAACAATTTGAAACGTTGTGATAAATATGGCGACAAAGATGACGACAATAGTCCGAATAATGTAAATAATGTTATTTTTTAGTTTATGTTCATCTTGAAAAAATTTAAATTTAAAGCCTTTTCATTTTTTTCTAAGTTTTCAACTTATATTTTCATTAAGCCTTCTTTATGTCGATGACTGAAATTCTCTTTGACATCTCAATGTGGACATTCCATCTCTCAATAATACTGATTATTTTCTGCTTTTCAGCAGTATTAGATCCTTCCCTTTAGATAATAGTTTTATTAGATATATATAATAAATATATATTATTAGGAAAATATAAAATGAGATTTATAAATTAGTTCCGTGTAATAAAAATATCAGAGAAAAAAATAACCATTCAAAATGGCTAAAAAATGTAGTTGGATATTTTACTAAGGGTTTTAAAATGGACAATTTTTAATTTTTGACAAAAATTATTGGTTCAGAAAATTTTGAATAATTGAGGATTTATTTGATTTGATATTTAATAACTTCAATTTGTACAAAAAGTTCAAATTTTTTAAAAAGAAATTATTTAAAATTTTAAAAATTGGAAAAAAAATTATATTTTTTTGTATTTAAAATAAGACAAAATTATTATAACATAGTTAAAAAAAAAAAAAAGATGAGAATAATGATTTTTAAAATTAAATTTTGCTCACGTCAAAATAAATCCTTTATCCTTTATTAGATGCATAAAAATTTTTGATTCACATTCATTTCAAACGATATCTAAATATAATTTTGATAATTGATTCCATTTAAAGACCATTTGTTTTTTTTTGCCGCTTTTGACCATGATTTTAATTTTTTTGGTTTCTTTTAATTAAAAGTTTTTTAAAAAATCAATGTTAATTTTCTGCATAAGCGTTATAAAATTCAGCCAAAATCAAAGTAAAATTTTTTCTTAAATTTGGGTTTTAAAAAATTTAGTTGAAACGAAAAAAAAAACGAAACGTGTGTTTGAGTTAAATATTAAAATAAATATATATCCGTTTCCTGTTTGACGATAAAAAATAAAATATATAGTTAATAAGATGAGAAACTTAAAAATAATTAAAGTTAAGACGATAAATTTTTAAACAGTGTAAAAATTATAGATAAACTACATCAATGTTCTGGTTAAGACGATGAATTCCATCCGTGTTCTGGTTAGATATTGAAAGAAATATATTTTAATTATAAAAGACGAAATTTTGAACAAAAATTCTGAGAAAAAAGAATGATAAAGTAAATTTTGATCCTGGTTAATTTGAATAAAATTCATCCGTCTAATCCTTTAATTTTTGACCAATAAACTTCTGAGAGTGTTTAAAAGTTCACGATAAATTTGAAAGAATATTATCTTTAAGATTTAAACTCTTCTGAAATATTAATACAATTTTTTTCAATTGGTGATAGATTAAAAAAGATAAATTTTATTATATATATTTCAGATGATAAACTCTTACTGATTGAAAATAATGACGATAAACTAAAATCTACATAAGGTTTAAGACGATATACCTTCCGTGAAATTTTAAGACGATAAACTATTTCCGTTTTGGTTAAGATATGCAATTTCATTAAAGTTGTAATTTATTTATTAAGACGATAAATTTCTTCCGTGTTTTGGTTAAACGATAAATCTACATTCAAATAAGATGGATTATAAGACGTTATTATTTCCACATTAAAAAGATGGTTAAAAAGACAAAAAATATCTATGTGTCCTGTGTAAGACGATAATGTTTTTAAATTAAAGTTAAAGAAATTAAATTGAAAGTGTGAAAAAATATTTTTTTGATAAAGTAAAAAACAAAGAAAATTTTTAAAGGAAAAGAAGGTTCCTAACCAGAAAGGTGATTTTTCAAAAATGGATTATTTGCATCAGAAATTTTTAAGAAAAGTCAGAAAAAAAAGAACAAATAAAAAGTATAAAATTTATAGATTTTAATAAAATTTTAATATATTTTGGAAAAATAAATTTAAATTACAAAAAAAAATATATTACCAAAAAAATAGATTATTTAAATTTTTGATTTACAATTAGATTCAATTAAAAAAATATTAGAAAAATACATTTTGGAATTAAATAAAATACATGAAAAATAGATTAAAAAAAAAAATAAACCAACAATATATTTTATGGGGGAAAAATTTAAGAGAGAGCAAAAATTCAAAAGAAAAGTTTATAGGGATTAAAAAAAAAATTGTCGGCATTATTTAACCAATTGAGTTTGAATTCCAATGTCAAAATAAACCAAAAAAAGAAAAGAATAAATGAAAATAGAAAACCATGGACCAAAATAATTTTTCAGAAAAACGTAAATTTAACCCAATGTGGTTATAAAATTAGAAAACCAAACCAAACCAATTGAAAGGATGGTAAACAGAAAATGAGAAAGAAGACACTAGTTTAGTTTATAATTTAAAAATCTTAAATTAATTTTCCCATATATTCTCAATTAAAGATCATCGATATTTGAAATGAAAAATTTTGATTTTTTTATATATAATTTATCCCAATCAATATTTTCTGTTTTATTCTTCAGTAAATTTATCATTTTTAAAAAAAAAAACAAACATCTTAAACGTTTCTAAAAATGTTATTATTATTATTATTTTATTTCCTTTGATTTGAATGTTTTTAATTTTTCCTTTCCGAGTTCAAACAGAATCTAAAGGTCAAAAATGGCATCAATGCATTTTTATTAGCAATTTTTACCAATTTTAAAACATTTTATCAACATTTTTTAAAATTACTGATTCCCTTTTTATTAGGTTGATTGAGATGTTATTGTTGAGAACATTGTTTTTCTTATTTTCTATAGCTCATTGCCAATCGAAAGACGGTAGAAAATAGTTGGATTTTGAAAATGTTTCCAAACGTTTTCTGTCGAAAAAAATTTTGTGGTCTTTGATTTGTTGAAATTACGATTTCAATTAAGATTGTATTTTTTAGTTTTTTGAATACAAAAAATCAACAATACATCGTTATCCTTGTATTCTTTTATAAATATATTGAAGGAAATTTTAAACATTGTTTTGAATATAATATAAAATTTCAAGATAATTAGAAATTTATTGTTCTGTCTATTATTATTATTATTATTATTATTATTATTATTATTATTATTATTATTTTTGTGTATGTTATGTTTCCTGCTTTGTATCCTGTAGAGCCGGGTCCAAACTATGGTCCTTAGGGCCCTATAGGAGAATTGTCATTTAATTGATTTTTTCTTAGTATATGGGATGTTCCTAGAAGGGCAATCTTCTGGGCAACTTGTATGTTGATGTTACCTGGCATACTGTTAGTAAAATTGTCCATTCCTTTTCTTCACGAGGCCCAGTGTCCGATTACTATTGGTTCAGTCTCAGTCTTCATTCCCCACATCCTGTTAATCTCGCTCTCCTGGACCTTGTATTCGTACAATTTCTTGATAATTTTTATGGAGGTGTTTCTCTCAGATTGTACTGCAATGTCAATAAGCATACACTTCCTGAATTTCTTGTCTTTTATGATAATATCAGGTCGGTTGGCTTTTATTTCCCTCCGAGTTTGAATTGGCATGTCCTAGAGGATAGTTACACTGTTATTTTGGGTAACTGTGTCTGGTTGGTGCTCATACCATCTCTCAATGGTTTCGATTTTGTGCTTCATGAATTTCTTCCAGTGCACATATGTAGCTACCTTGCCATGTCTGTGGGTATATTAATATAATATGGTCGACAGTTTCATCATTTTCTGCAGATTATTATTTTATTTTCTTGGATTTCTGGTGTATACATATTTCTTTCCAGGTCCCAACCAGAGACTTAAAGTCAGAATTGAAATCATGAAATTTTCCACTGAGCCTTTTTTGAGGATAAAAAAGACCCCCCCCCAAAAAAAAATCTAAGATCACACATATTTTATTTAGAAAAGCCCTTCGTAACGTGCTGACTGTATATGTGAGTAAATTTTTTTGTATTTCTTTCAGGCATAGACTACTGGGGATTCCTTCAGTAAGTCTATTGTAATCTTTTCAATCAATCCGAGTGCTCCAACTACTACTGGAATTACTGATGTCCTCATGTGCCACATTTTTGAGATTTCAAGGCACTTGTATTTTGATAGCTTTTTGAAGATCTTCAAAAATAGATTACAGTCTGCAGGGACTGTTATTATTATTATTATTATCGTTATTGCTGTTGCTTTTGAGATTTTGATAGGGCTGGGGGAGGGTGTTCGTCTATTGTTAAAAATTCCTGTTTAGGCGATAATTTTAAAACAGCAAACTTTATTTTCCGCACAACAAACTCAAGTCGATCGCTTATCATTGTCGTTAGCCAGAATCCATCGATGTGTTTCTTTTCTCCAATCAAAGTACGGCATTCCTATCTTTGAAAAAAATAAAACAAGCAGATATATTTATTTTTTAATTTTTGCTGGTGTTTTATACTTATTTTTTGTGGGGGGGGAGGGCTTTTTTATTTTGTATTTAACTGTTTCTGTTCCAACACAAACAAAAATGAACAAAAATGGTTTGTTGTGTGGCAAGACCCAAAAAAGGCAAAAGAGAGAGAGAGAGAGAGAGAGAGAGCGAAAGAGAGAGGGAGAGAAAGAGAAGGAGAAAGAGCGACAGAGAGAGAAAGAGAGAGAAAGAAAAAGAGAGAGGGAGAGAGAGAACGAACGAGAAAGAGAGTGAGAGAAAAAGAGAGAGAGTGAGGGAAAGAGCGAGAGAGAAATGAGAGGTATGATGAAAAGATTCGCCGAAAGAAAATGGCGCTTATAGTTATCTTGAATCCCTAAGGGAAAATCTATCTCAGCTAATCACGTTTTGGCAGGGGAAAAATGACAAAATATTCCTCATGAATATTTATGAACCAATTTAAAGAAAACAATTTCATGTCTTCTCTTAATTTGTTTTTCTTATATAATTTTATTTATCTATGATGGTTGCAAATATTTTATTGACCAGTTTTCCGCGCCATTCTACTATTCCTTTTCATGGCCGCCTTCTCCATTTCCGTATCGATTTTATTTGAACCCTTTCTGGCTTTTTTTCTATCTTAGTTTGTTCAAACTTCGTCTCTTTGGATCTCCCGCTAAATTTTACCGATTAAAACTTGCCATATTTTAGTTTACTCCGGTCTCGTGAGCAGCTATGTAAAACTTTTCATGGAAGTAGAAATCGCTAAAGAAAGACATTGATGCAGTAGCATCCTACATAATAAAAATCAACAAGTTATAATCCCCAAGGAGGGTTAAAAAATAAAAATAAAAATAAATATATTATAAATGTAATGTATAATATGGCATAATCTCTGATGTAAAAGTTGGTGAAAAATGAAGATAATTTTAATATTTACGTAAGAAGTTTTAAATTTTTTCTAAGCTCTATACTAAACATTAAATCTGTTATTTATATATTTTATGTTGTACTAGCAGCATGGCCCGGCGTTGCCCGTGCTTGATTCAAAAATCATACAGCAATCGCTATCACTTGGCTTAAAATATTTTTGCCCTTCCTTGCCTTTAAAGGAGTGCCCTTTGCCGTGCTGATGTTGCTACATGCCTTACTTCTTGCCTAACTCACACTGAGCATTTTTTCTAAGCTCTATACTAAACATTAAATCTGTTATGAAAAAAAGAACTAAACAAAATGAACACAAAACGATCAGCTTTAAAAAAAGAACTCGTAACTAGAAAAACCGAATGAAAAAATAATGTTAACAACAAATACTTTTTCACATACAACCCAGTTCTGCGGAATCAGAATCAACGTTGAGTTTAAGCAAGCGAATGAGCCAATTGGAGTAAAGTGCTATGCAGATTTAAATTTTTCCCACTTGTGACGAATGCAGCTATCGATTTTTTTGCATGCTAGCATGCTAGTTAACATTCGTGTCAGTCAGCTGTTAGCCCTCACGCTGGACAATAGAATCTTACTGCCTATTCGTGGCAGCCAGCTATAGGCTCTCATTCTGGCCAGTAGAAAAGGGTCGCAAACTACATGAAAACTGCCGTAGAAGCATGAAAACATCGATTATTTCCACTATCGATGGGACTTGGGAAATGCAATATCGGTCTTGGCCTTCCCGCTAACTTGGAGCATGTGCACGTAAATTTTGGTGCAAATCTGTCGAAAAATTGGTGGCCGTGCATTCGT